AGCAGCTGCCCGGCCAGCTGGCCATGGTGCTCAGCCAGGGTGCCACCAAGCAGCACGTGGCAGGCACAGAGGGGAAGCCGCCCAATCAGCTGGAGCACGGTTCAGCCTCCTCTGGGCTGAACGCCACAGCCAGCAGGCCAGGCAGCTTCTCCTCTGCGCCAGCCCACGTGGAGCGTGGTGCACCATGGCCAGCTGGCTGGGCAGCTGCGTCTCTTCCCTCCAGCCCAGCTGCCCTGCGCTCAGCCCAGGGAGGCTGTGCCTAGCTCCAGCTGTGAAAGCCACAGTCAGCTGGCTGGGGTGTTTCAGCCCTCCCGACCTCTCAGCTCCCACCATTCCTCGCAGCTACTCACCTGTGTTGTTGCTCAGTGAGTAGCTGCTCCTCAAATGAGGAAATCTAACGTAAATGTACTGCACAGGTGCGCAGTTCAGAGAGGGCTCAAGAGCTACTCTTAGAGCCCCTGAGATCTACCAGTAGCTCACGATCTACTGGTTGGTGACCTCGGCTCTGGAGAAAGGTGCAAGAAACTCTGAAATTGACAAATATCAAATCACTTTCATAGCGGATCCATTAGATATTGGATTATATCTTGAAGCATAAATGGGTATGTACTTTCCAAGCTTTAAAAATCCTACCTAATGTAACCATGTGTGTTGAGCACCATAATGAAGGAGCTTGGTCCTGCCTTGAGGGCGGGGGGCTGGACTCGATGACCTCTTGAGGTCCCTTCCAGTCCTATTATTCTATGATTCTATGAATGAAAAGTATCTTTTAAGAGTGGTTTGAATGAGACAAGGGTGGAAAGTTGACAATTAGATTTTTTTAAGGTCTACTCTTTGCAAGCCTGACGGATAGTGTGAAAAGCACCTGATGATGTTGGCAGAGCAGAGAGGACAGAATGGAGAGAATGTGAAGGAAGACCAAATCAGAGGTATAGTACATTGAAAGCCAGGGACAGAAATTTGAACTGGTGTGCAGCACAATAGGGAGTCAACATAGTGACTCAAATTGGGACATATGTTTTAAATCAGGGGTGGGGAGCCTAAGGCCCAGGGGCCAGTGTTCCCTCTAAGCTGCACAGCTTCACAGGTGATTAATCAGCTCCGCCCAGCCAGCTCCATGCAAGGAGCCCTGAGTCTCTGACTGGGCGGGGCTGACTAATCACCTGTGAAGCTGTGCTGCAGCGCAATAGAGGGAACACTGCTGGGGGGGCTCCTTGGCTTGCCTGGATCCAGCCCCCAGGCTTTTACCCCAGCATTGTGAAGCCTGTGCTGACTGTCCAGACCCTCCTTCCCTTCTGTGGGGCTGGAGCGCACACAATCTACTAGCCTGGCCCTGCCCCAGGCAGTAGTGTGTGAGGGGAATATGAGTGTCTTTCTTCTTCTTGGTCAGAGGTCATGGCACCATGACAGTGAGGGTTGGGGTTTTTTTCTTCTCACTTGTATGTGGCTCCCAAGGGATTTTTTTTCTGTGTCAGCGGCTCCCAACCCATAAAAGGTTCCTCAGCCTTATTTTAAATGAAGGGTAAGAGAGACAATGTTGGCAGCCGTATTTTGGCTGAACCAAGAAGGATGAGGCAGTCATCCAAAAGACTTGAGAGGAACATGACATTGGTCATGTTAGGTCAGACCAATGGTCCATCTAACCCACTATCCTATCTTTTGACAGTGACTGGTGTCAGATGCATCTGAAGGAACGAATAGAACAGGGGAACTGTCAAGAGGGCATCCTAGCTGTTGGGTTATCCTAGCTTCCTGCACTCAGAATCTTAGGGAAACCTGAAGCATTATGTCGAATCCTGACCATCTTGACTAATAGTTATGGATGGATTTATCTTCCATTAACTTAACTAATTCTTCTTTTGAACCCAGTTATACTTTTGGCCTTCACAACATCTGTTGGCAATGAGCTCATAAGTCTGAGTGTGTAATGTGTGAAGAAGTACTTTCTTATGTCTGTTTTAAATCAGTTGTGTATTAATTTCACTGGGTGGACCTCTTGATTCCTGTGTTTATATGAAGCATAAATAACACTTCCTTATTCATTTTCTCCACACCAGTTATGATTTTGTATCCTTATCCCTACTTACTCATCTCTTTTTCTAAACTGAAGAGTCCCAGTCTTTTTAATATCTCTTCATACAGAAGCTGCTTGATACCCCTAATTGTTTGGGTTGCCCTTCTGTGTATTTTTTCCAATTCTAATCTTTTTTAAGAGAGCAACGAGAATTTCATGCAGCATACAATGTATTTACAGAGTGACTTTGATATTTACTGTCTTATTATCTGTCCCTTTCCTAATGGTCTTTTCTCTGTCTGCAAGCCTTTTGGACTGCCACTATACATTGGGTGAATGTTTTCAGAGAACTATCCATGATGACTCCAAGATCTCTTTGAGTGGTAACAGCTAATCCACACCTCATGATTTTGTATGTAAATTTAGGATTATGTTTTCCAGTATGTATTACTTTGTATTTATCAACATTGAATATTGTGTGCTATTTTGTTGCCCAGCTTTGTGAGATTGAGTTTCTCTTTGCAGTTACCTTTGGACTTAACTATGATGAGTAATTTTGTATCATGTAAAAATTTGCTATCTCACTATTCACCCCCTTTTTCTAAATGATTTATGAATATGTTCAATACCACATTCTCGATACAAATATTGGGGTGACCCCACTATTTCTCGCCATTGTGAAAACTTACCTTTTATTTGTACCCTCTGTTTCCTTTTTTTAAAGAGCTATCCATCCAGGAAAGCACTTTTCTTTGTAACTTGTGACTGCCTACTTAACAGCCTTTGTGGGATGTTGTCAAAGGCTTACTAAAAGTTTAAGTGTACTATATGTCCATGGGATCACTCTTGTACATATGTCGATCCCCTTAACAAATTCTGATAGATTGCTGAGGTGTGATTTCTCTTCACGAAATCCATGTTGACTTTTCTCCAACAAACTGACTTCATTTATGAGTCTGGCAATTCTATTCTTTACTATCATTTTAGCCAGCTTGCCTGGTACTGAAGTTAGTTTTACAGGCCTGTAATTGCCATGATCACCTTAATGTCCTTTTTAAAAAATTGGCATTGCATTAGTTATCCACCAGTTATCTGGTACAGATGCTGATTTTAAGTGTGCGGTTACAAACCACAGTTAATGGTACTACAGATTTCTATTCGAATTCTTGCAGAACTCTTGGATGAATACCATCTGGTCCTGGTAACTTATTGCTGATTAATCTATTAACTTGTTCTAAAACTTCTGCTAATGACACTTCAATTTTTGACACTTGTCAGCTAAAAATAATGGTTCTGCTATTTGAAACTCCCTCACATTTTCTATAGTGAAGACTGGTACAGAAGATATTGCCATAGTTGAGGCACATAATGGAGAATGTATCCAGAATCTCTTTTTATTTTTACCCTTCATGTTGTGTAACTATGGTCAGGAAATAAAGAACTATGTCTTTTCACACCTGTCTGTGTCTCAGAGTATACAGTGAGTTGGAAAGGAAGAAGTACAAATCATTGTAGGTTCAAAACTGCTCACAAAATGGAGGCCTGAATTGAAAATCTGTCTCTGTGCTATTATACTTTAACAGATTCATGATGTTTTCAACAAAAAAATAAAAATAATTGAACAATGCTGTATCAACAGACTTCATTGCTCATAGGTGTGAGTAGAATATCAACCCAGAGTGCAAAGTTGTGAGACAAATTGTCTTACCTTGATTAGCAGGAAGGAGTCCAGAATTCAAAGGGATGTAAATTAAATATCTAAGAAACTAAGGGTGGGTTAGAACAGGTTTTAGTCACTTTTCACAACAGCCCATCTTGGTGCTGTTGTTTGTGTCTGTCTCTTTTCAAGTTCATGTAGCTGCTGTCTCCTTCCATTTGGCTCTTGTTCTTTTCTATTGGAGATATTTTAAACCATTTTAAAGATAATTCCAGTCGGTATTTCAGAAGCACAAAATTAATTTTTAAAGTCTAGATCTGAAAGGGTAAATATCATATTGAAGAGTGATGGAGGGAATTTTTGAGTCAAGATCAATGGTTTTCAGAGATGGCTTGTGTGGATTCGAATACAGTCTCTCAGGAATCTCCTTCTAAAACTGAGCTGAAAGAAGAATTTTTTTGTAACCTTTGTTCTTATTTGCTCTTGGGGTAACATGCAGTATAGTGTTCTTTCACAGCTTATTTACTTCCTCTCAATATCAGCATATATCTTGTCTATTTGATGGCATGTAACTGATGGCTATTGTCAAGATACAGTTTTTATCAGAAACCATTTTTAAAAAAACAGCTTAACTCTGAAAATGACTCCTGGCAGCTATTATTTAGGTGTTGAACCTCATTGATTAATGTCCATGGAGATCTTTGGATCCCAAGTACTGTGTCTCTAAGACCTGGTCTAAACTAGAAAATTAGGTTGGTTTCAGTATGTAGGTCAGAGGTGTGAAAGATCCTTAGCTGCATTGTTAAGCATAACATAAGTCCACATGCAGACTGTGCTAGATCAACAGAAGAATTCTTCCATTGACTTAGCTACCACCTATTGGGAGATGGATTACTTGTTCTGATCAGCATAGGTATTGTTTACATTGATGTGCTGCACCGGTGCATTTGAGCTACTATAGCTTTTTAAGTGTAGAAGTACCCTAAATTAATCACCACCTCAGCTATTTCTGTGGTCTTTTTTTGAGCTTCTAAAACTTTCTGAAGTCTTGTTTGACTGTTGGGTAGAATGTTGTTTTAATTTATTGATGTTCATGTTTCATGATTACATGGCTAGCATTATGATGAGGAAGTGGTGCTTCCAAGAATTGATAATAGAACTTGCTATTGGAATTCAAGTGTAAAAGTGCTCATTTTCTCATTGCAGGACAAACTTAACATGTTAAAATATCTTCTGAATGCAGCTTTTTCAGAACTATCTTTTTCAAATAGAAAACTGTTTTTAATATGTTTGGTATAACTTTGTTTAATTTCTAATCAAGATGACAAGTTATTCTGTAAATCACTAAGCACCTCATCAGAAACAATTTGAAGTCAGTGAAAGACCTTTTGATTTTAAGGGGCTTTGGATGAGGTCTTCAGGTCTAGAGTATAATTTCTTATTTGCATGAGTCATCAACACAGATAATTCAATTGAAATCAAAGGGATTATTTATGACTGTACATGCCCACCAGCAAGAGTAAGAATTAAGCAATCTAGCCTCTACTTTTTTGTAGCATTTTGAATAATGATGCATATTGATGTAATAATGCAGTTGTGATATTATGCAATAACGATGTTGAAGATATTAACCAATTTTGATATATGATATTTATATAGTGTCAAACTATGGAGAACTGGATGACTGGTTGTATAGATGTGCTTTGCAAGATTGTTTTCTCATATCTTCTTGATACTACAAGAGTGAAGCTAACTTTCATAGAATCATAGACCTGTAGCTCTATGAGAAAGCTCAGTAGCCCATCTAGTCCAGTCCCCTGCATTCAAGGCAGGACTTCAAAATAACTAGATCCTTTCTAATAGGTATTGGTCTAACCTCTTCTTAAAAACCTCCAGTGACAGAGATGCCACAAGCTCCCCAGACCTGCATTTCTCAAACTTTAGATTTTAAAATTTTCCATGGATCCTGAAGATGGCTTCTGATTTTCCTCAGGAGTTTTCAACCCTTGCTTGGCCCCATCAGGCTGCACTGCTGTTATGCTCCTTGTCCCAAGGCCTGCCCCCTGCTCCACTTCTTCCTGTTTCTCCTCTTCTCGGTCTCTTTCCACCCCCTCCCTGTGTGAATAGCTGGTCCAGCATGCAGGAGGCACTGGGAAGGAGAGGGAGGAGGTGATCAACAGGACCTGTGGTCCTGTTCATGACTCGTGGACTCCAGTTTGAGAACTGCTGCCTTAAATAGGGTGCTTAACCACCCTGACAGACATGAAGTTTTTCCTAATATCCAGCCTCCCTTATGGCAATTTAAGCTCATTGTTTCTTGTCCTATCCAGAGAACAGTTTTTCACCTTCTTCCTTGTAACAACCATTTATGTACTTGAAAACTGTTATAATGTCCCTCTTCAGTCTCCTCTTCCGGTCCTCTGGAATCTCTTCTGTCTATCATTAATTTCTTGAAGATAATTACTAATGGCGCTGATATCTCCTCGTTCAGCTCCTTTAGTGTTCTAGGATGTCCACTGATTTGCACTCCATGAAACAGTATTGGACATTGTTTTGTGTTAAACCTGTAGTGGAGGGCAGGATGGATTTGGCGACAGAAATATAGAATCCTAGAATACTAGGACTGGGAGGGACCTTGAGAGGTCATCGAGTCCAGTCCCCTGGCCTCATGGTCTAGTACTGACTAGACCATCCCTGATAGACATTTATCTAACCTAATCTTAAATATCTCCAGAGATAGAGATTCCACAACCTTCCTGGGCAATTTATTCCAGCGTTTGGCCACCCTGACAGTTAGGAACTTTTTTTTTCTAATGTCCAACCTAAATCTCCCTTGCCACAGTTTAAGCCCATTGCTTCTTGTCCTATCCTCAGAGGCCAAGATGAACAAGTTTTTTTTCCCTCCTCCTTAGGACAACCTTTTAGATATCTGAAAACTGCTATCATGTCCCTCCTCAATCTTCTCTTTTCTAAACTAAACAAACCTAATTCTTTCAAAATGATCTGGACAAATTGGAGAAATGGTATGTGATAAACAGGATGAAGTTTAATAAAGACAAATGCAAAATGCTCCACATAAGAAGGAACAATCAGTTTCACACATACAGAATGGGAAGCGACTGTCCAGGAAGGAGTACGGCAGAAAGGGATCTAGGGGTTATAGATCCCTAGATCTATCTGTAGTCAAACCTCACAGCTACTCCCAACCTTTCTTCTGTTTTCTGATCAGGCAAAAGAATTTATTTGGAGTGGTTGCTCCTCCTTTGGGTCATCTGTTAAAATACATGGACTTGCAGATGAGGAATAGGAGGCCTTTCCTGAAGAAGATGACTTATTTTGTAGTAGAAAAGAAGGCAATAGGCTGTAAATCGGCCCCATCCAAAACTTCTCCAAGGATAAGTGGTTGTACACTTTTATGTACTCTTTTGAGCTAAACGCAGTTACAAGGAACGTCAATAAAATTTTGGCACCTTCATGTGTCTCTCTCCTTGGAGACATTTTAGCACATGAACAAAGTCCTGGATTCCACCTCAGGTTGATATTATAGTATCTTCTGCATCTTAGAAGTTCCTCTTATCATTGTGAGGAAATGTTTCCTTCAGAGATGCATTGGACAAACAGACAGTAGTTAATTTTCAACTATTTGTGATCTTAGTTAAATGTTGATTCTGTAGAAGGTTAGAGCACTGTTAGAATGTGTAAGGAAACTGCGTGTCCTGTCTATCGGAGCTGGATATTATTGCAAGTTAGCAAGATATTGGCTAGCTTTCTGAAATGAGCTAGCAGAAATGTTATGTTATCTTCTAAGGTTGTATCAAATAGTCTAGTGACTAGGAGAGTCCATTTTTAGTTAAATTACCAGAATAATTTAAAAAAATATTTTGGAAGGAAAGGTTTTAAATTAACCGTTAGATTCTGCTGAAGTCAAAGGCTTGTATCTGTGAGGGACAGCTTTCTGCTCATGCAGTTATTCTTTATATAGATTCTAGATTATAACTACTACCTATCCCAGAAACAAGGAGTAAACCTAGTTCATGTTTCCCACTGAAGACAAGAGGTTTTTTTCTGTTGGGATTCTTCAAGGAAGCATAATGAATAACACCCAAGTGGCTTCTAACAATAGGAAACCTGGAATACCAGAAGAGTTCTTACATTTTCTTGCCGTATCCAGACTACCATATTTTTTTCTTACATCACCTCACAATTTGCAGACATGACAATCTTTCTTACTATATTGAATATGCATGTTGAAAGAGCAATTGCACAATGTTTTGTTTGCTTTAATTTTCATGAAGAATTTGGATCTGGATGCTGACTGACTTAAAACCATCAGAAAGTGACTGAAAAAGTTATTCTAATGAGTTCATTTTATGGTGGAAATCTTATCAGTGATTCTGACCCTTTTAAAGTTAGTGACTGTTGCTGGAGCTATCCATTCCTTATCTGGAGGTTGGGCAATTAAAAATAAGCAAACAAATTCACTGTGCAGTATGTTTTCATTGAAAACTATGCTCTCCTCTGTAGATAAATATTTAGTTCTCATTGTTGACTGTGATTTCTTCCTGTACCTTCCTTCCCTACATACCAAAAACGATTGTATTTATTTAATTGTGATAATAAGCATCTTTGGATGGGGCCTAATCATGCTAACCATCACTATATAAAGAGTAACAATAGAACACTACAAAGTCAGGACTCGATTACACAGTCAGACTGAACTATGCTCTCTAGGATAGGGATGGGCAATAATTTTTGATGGGGGCTACTCCAAGATTTTGGAAAGTGGTTGAGGGCTGCACTCTTCCATGATATTAATGGAGGAGGTAGGGGGTCTGGGATGAAGGTTGAGTGGAGAATGGAGCTTGGGGTAAGGGATTGGAGTACAGGAGGGAGAATGGAGTTTGGGAGGGAGTCTGGGCGAAGGAGGTAGTTTTGACCAAGGGCAGGGAACTGGGATGCAGAGTTTTGGGATGTGACCTAGAGTAGGAGGGGATTGTGATCTGAGGCAGGAGATTGGGGTGCTAGATCTGGGAGGGTGTATGGGGGCAGAGGAAGGGAAGGGCTGGGGTGCCAGAGGCAGGCTGTGGCCAGGAGACTTAATAGACAGCAGCCAAACCAGCCTGCCTGCTTACAGAACTAAAGACTTTCAGAGCTAAAAATGTTTCTCAGCCAGCCTGCCTGCCTCGCCATGTGCTTGAGCTGGAGGGGAGGGGGCATGGTGCTTCGTGGCTGCCTGTTGTTCAAACAGGCAGCTCCCATTAGCCAGTTTCGGGCCAAAAACTGGCCAAAGGGATTGTGCTGGGTGCAGGGGCAGCCCCTGAAGCTTCCCCTCCTTTCCTTCGGGATTACAGTTTTGAAAGGGAAACTGGGACAGGCAACTGCGTTTCTGAGTGGCGTGCGGGGCAAGTAGGGGAGCCTGGATGGGATCCCTGCTCTCTCCATGAGCTGGATCTGGTGGCATAGCAGGTCGGATATTACCCGATGGCCATATTTTGCCCAGGCCTGCTCTCGAAGAAGGTCTACAATTGTTGCTGTGCCTGTAAGTAGTAAAATGGGTAAGTTTCCAGAGTTGTTTTATTTGAAACGTGGAGTTCAGTATGCTCCAAATCTGGAGACCTAAAGTTTCAGATCCACAGATTGTTACTGATCCCTTTGAACTGGAGGATTGAGAGCCTTTTACTAAAAAAGGCATAGACCTATTGGAATCATGTTATAGTTAAACTACCATTTGGCATGTACAAGTTAGGGTGGGGACACCAAAGAGTTCAGATGATACCTGAGATTTGGATCAATTGTTAGTCCTGCTTTTGAATCAATATTCAATAAGGGGGTATAGAGAATACTATAGAAGTTCAGTATCAGAGGGGTAGCTGTGTTAGTCTGAATCTGCAAAAGCGGCGAGGAGTCCTGTGGCACCTTATAGACTAACTGAAGTGTTGGAGCATAAGCTTTCGTGGGCAAAGACTTGACAAAATGCATCTGACGCAGTGAGTCTATGCCCACGAAAGCTTATGCTCCAACACTTCAGTTAGTCTGTAAGGTGCCACAGGACTCCTTGCCGCTTTTATAGAAGTTAAAATATCTGAGTTTGAGCTTGGGACATTATCAAGCTAGATAATTTGGTACATGTAGCTACCTTAGGTAAAAGGTATCTTTAAAAGGAAAAAAATGTGGATGCTGCAGGGCTGGTAAATTCCTGTGCTGAAGATTTCTGAGATTCTGGAAAGTGTGTGTTCCCAGTGGGAAGGAGAAATCATGTACGTGGCATAAAGCAGGAACTGGTTTCACTTGCAGATGTGGCCATATCTAGAAATAGGGAGTCAAATTGTTGGAGAATTGAATATCTGAGATTGAAACTAGAAACAGCACTTTCAACTAGATTACTACAGGCAGTCCCCGGGTTACGTACAAGATAGGAACTGTAGGTTTGTTCTTAAGTTGAATCTGTATGTAAGTCGGAACTGGCGTCCAGATTCAGCCGCTGCTGAAACTAATCAGTTTCAACAGCGGCT